CTTAGTGTCTCTTTGGCATTTCCTACTTTGTGTTTCATGAGAGAGTCTGAAGGTGAGGATTACTCCAAGCCAGATTTTTCTACACTTCTCAGCCATGAATCTCCTCTCCTCTACACATAGGAAACATTACTTTAGAGTTAACTTTAAAGAGTTCAACTTTGTTAACAGCAGAATGGACCATAGGTACACTTGTATACTACTTGCTGATTATCTGAAATTCAAGTGTAAACTAGATGGTGTAGGTCTTATCTGTTAGCTCTATTTGAAGAGTCTGTGTTATGTGAGACTTTTCCTGGGGTGACATTTGTTTACTAAATCCCCAGAAGGGAATGGAAGACACACCAAAGTTACAATTTTACCAGACAGTGGGGCATGTGGACCATGTGTCCAGGCAGAAGACCTGGTAAGATTGAGCAGGTTCAAAACCCCAGGGAATCTCAGAATTGAGATCAGCAGATAGAACCAGCTCCTGGCCAACATCTATCTGCCCTGGAACACATAACCACAACACTCCATTAAGAAGGTCATGACAGTCAGTCACATAGAGACAACACCTGATGTCCTTCCCCAGGCAAATAGAGCATCCTAACATCTCAGACTGAGCCATGGGAAGCATCTACCCCTGGATTCCATCCTATCCCCAAAATGTTCATAAGGTCCTGATACACACGGAATAAAGTGTATGAGTTATTTCACCAAGAGTCATCTGAGGGTGACTTTTATTGAGCTGTAACACTCAGGGGAGAGTTTTCTTTCCCAAAGCATTTATCACTGGACCTTGCATCTGCTCCTCCCCCATCCACTTGCTGCTGTGGCTGTCAGCTGCCTGCAACTACTAGCTGCCCTTTGTTGTCGGTTGTAACTATTTCCAGCCACTTTCTTACTGGCTGGCTCACCTGCTGCTGCTGTTGCTGCTAGCATCAGCACTGTTAACTAACAATAGAGATAGCGGAAAGACCCTGGCTACTTGCCTTACATGGGCTTCCCTTTTGAGAGTTGTAACACGTTGGTCATTCCAGCCAGACTGGAGCCCCTCAGAACCTTTCATTACTCTGTCTTCCCTGATCTTGTTGGCGGTGCTCAGGCACCCCAGTGGTGACACCGGACTCTTAACAGCACAATTTGAAAGAAGCATATCAGGTTAGAGAGTCTCCTCCAGAGATGAGTCTCCCATCCCCAGCAATATCATTCTGCTTTATAACCATGGGGGTGGGAGTGGAGGGATATTAAGACTCTTATTAGTACCAACTGTCCTGAAATCGTGATGCCAATTTACTTCCTTAGTTTCATAAGATGTCATCCACCTCACAGGAAGGAATGTATCAATTTGGATGAAATTGCTACAAAATGAAAACCCTTCAGTTCTCATGGGTTCTGTTCCTCTGTGTCATGGTGTTTCTAAGCCTTGGGGATCCTAAGGTAACCTGATATTTTAATCTATTGTTAATTACACACAACTACAAGTTGAGTAAGTTACGGAGAAAAGAACCTTGTTTGAGCTCATAGCTCTCCTCCAAGATCAAGAGTCCATGTGTGGTGATTTTCTACTTGCTGATCAAGGCCCAAGATGGCTTATAGAACCCCATGGGTATAGAATGAAGAACATGAGAAGATAGTCCATCTGGGTGTGACTGACAGCAGACCCACCACTCCTGAGATAGCCCATTAACCCATTCATCCATCAAACCATAGACTAATCTACTCATGATGGCAGAGCCTAACCACATTTTAAAGGTTCCACTTGGTGCTACATCATGGCGATTTACAGTAAGGAGTATATTTTGACATGAGCTTCAGTAAATAAGATCAATGTTCAAGTGATAGGACATGAATATCTAGAGTAGTGCATATTGAAAATCCTCTCAGCAACTCTAGAGAACAACTCCAGTATTCCTAAGAACCACTCTTACTGAGTTATCCGGATGGATCACATCATCACACTTGTCTAACCCAAGGTCCAATTTGTGTTATTCATCCTAAATTGAGGAACACACTGGGTTTATCTCACAGCACCCTCTTCTAACAGATTGTTCTTTTGTGCCTCAGGTTATTTCCTATTCTGGGACAATGAGTCATAGCCGAGAAAAAAGGCAATGACTGTTACTCATGAAAGAGTCTCCTCAAGGGAACATTCCTTAGAAGGGCTGACACTTAGTACCTCTAGGGCTATGATGAAAACCCTGTTCTGTGTGACACCTAGAATCTAATGGGAAATGAAGGCAAACGTGATGCAAAAGATAGAGAACACTATGAATAGGAAATGCTGTTAACAGGTCTAGACTCTACAACCTAGATCTATTGACTTTAGATGCTATGACGCATGGGTCAGGCACCTCTTAGAAACCCTTAAATTGTGCTTGTGGAGAAGTCAGTTGGCTTCCAATGAGATTGGTCTTGTTATAGGCAAGAGTTTTGTTTCTCTGTGCAATGGTACACTTTTTACGTGCTTACATCTCAGTAGCATAGTTAGTATTCAGAGGTCATATTTAGCTCAAAAATTGTGGTGCGTTTATGTTCTTAAAACTTAAATCATGTCTTGAAGTTGAACATGATAATTGTGGCCTAATCAGCCAGTGCCAGACTTTGGTTCTGCCTAAAGTGATGGATATCAGTGTCTCCCCGTTGCTCACACTCAACTCATCTCGCTCTCCACTCTGACCACCAGGCTCTGTTCTTCCTGTCTCAAAACCATTTCCTTCATATCCACCTGAGTCCAGACAACTTTCTCCATCCCTTTTGGGCTATAAGTGGTCTCTCTGTTCGTTTGTTCAACACATCTGTTATGCAGGACTGTGTTTGCATGGGATGTGAATCACTTTTCTCATGGCTGTGACCGAATACCTGATTACAAAAACAAAACTTAAGGAAGGAAAGCTTTATTCTGACTTCCAGTTTGAGGTTACAGCTCATCATGGTAGGAAAGTATGGCAGCAGGAATGTAAGTTGGGTGGTCACGTGGCTTCCACAGTCAGGAAGCACAGAGAGGGTTGACTGCTGGTGCTCAGCTCACTTTCTCCTTTGTCCAGTCCAGACACCCAGTGCACAGAGTGACAACACCTACACATACCTACCTCAACCCATTCTAGAAACTTCCTTGTAGACAAGCACAGAGAATTGTCTCCTTCGTGAGTCTTTGTCTTTTTTATTTGATTATTAACATGGGTATTTCACATGGTCAAGAAAAAAAAATATGGTCTCAAGAAAGACACTGTACTCTCAGGAAGATGGACATACTAGGCACACAGCACAACACAACACCTACTCCTGATAAGATAGAGGAAGTTTGAGATGACAAAATATGCAAGGAGGACCGCCAGACTCTCCAGAGGAGCAGCCCAATGAGGACTGCACTGTGGCACAAGGCAAGTCATGGTATTCTTTAAAAAAAAAAAAACTTTATTGGTTCTTTGTGAATTTCCCATTGTGCACCCAAATTCCTTTCATCTCCCCCTCTCCTCATACTCATCTTCTACCCTTGCAACCTTTCCTACAAACAGAGGGAAAAAAATCTTATTGTGGAACCTATAGTGTGTCCACAGTAGATTCTTTTGTCTATACTTTACTTGCAAATGTTATTGCAAGGTTCAAATGACTCTTTGGTCTGGTAAGAGGCTTCTGGTTTCCCCTACTCTGTTGATACTGGATCCTCCTTGGGACTCCTCTTAGATATCCTGTTGTTGCCCTGTGTCATGGCGATCCTATAGCTTTGAATCTGTAGGACTAGCCCTTCATTTGCTCCAGCAGTTCATAGATGGAGTAGATGCTGGGATGGCTCAATTCAAAGGCCTGGATCTTAGCCTGAGAGGTATCTGAGCTCTTCTGCTCTTATGCCCTTAGGGCTGGCTCACTAGAAACTCCCACCTTCAGGGCCAGCTCTACCCTGCTCCGCAGGTGAGGTGCAGGGCCTATTCTCTCTGTGTTACAGATGGTAAGGGACATGGCCAATTTTCCCAATCTCATGACCCCAGGGCCAGCTCTCCTGCCTGCCAGCAGACAAGAAGGGCTGGCTCTCCCTTACACACACCCTTGGGGCTGGCTCACCCACAACCCCTACATGCGAAGTGCAGGGCCTGTTTTGCTTGCCCAAGTACTGCAGATAGTGAGGAGCAGGGACAGCTCTCCTGCTCTCATGACACCAGGACCAGGTCTCCTGCCTGCTGGAGGTGGTTATCTGCAAGGGAGGAGGGATCTCTCCCTCATCCATACCACCTCAGGGGAGATAAGTGGCGTGTCCAGATCTCCCACACTGATATCCTCGGCTGATTCACACGTAACGCCCACAATACATGGGATCTGCTCTCCCATGTACTGCAGCTTGCTAGTGGTTGGATTAGCCCTGCAGCTCTCATGCCTCCAGGGCCAGCTATCCCACAATGTCCAGGTGATAGGGTCAGTTCTGCACAGCCCTCAGACATCAACATGTCCCTGGGTGGCAGGCCAAATCAGGGACATCCACCTAACCTCATGGTGTCAATTGGTATCACTTGCTACTCACATCAGGCTGTTCCTCACTAGAGTCTCCATCCAATTTGGCCTCTCTTCATTGTGCCCACAGCCTTGTTTTTCTTTCCCTCCCATTTCTGTAGCACGTACTTGCTCCTTTTGTTGGCACTTGGGATCTCTGAGTGTCTGGATTGTCTCAGGAGTGGTCTCAGGAGTGCTAAGCCCTGCTTCTGCATTGTGGTGCTGGGAAGGGGTCATCTTGTATATGATCTGCACCCCAAGCCTGTGTGATGCTTGACTTGAGGTCATCTCAGTCTAGCTCCCTGTCCTGGCCCCATGGTGTGGGTCTGGTGGTCATCTCAGGCTTGCTCCTCCCCAGACCAGCCCTAATGTCTGGTCTTCTGTTCCAAAGGTCTTCTGTCTCAGGCTCACTCCTGCCTGGATCCCTCAGCCCCAGGTGGGGTTCTTCTAATCTCTGGCTTGCTCCCAGTTCTGGAAGCTGTAGGGGTCCCTGTTGTGTGGGACTTGTGGTCATCTCAGGCTAGCTTTTCCCAGGAAAAGTTAGGCTACTAATCATTCAGATGTTCATAGGTCGGAACACTGAGCACAGATGTAGCCTCCCTCCTCTATGCCACCTACTGACACACATGTGACACAGCAGCCACACCTGCAATGCTTCTAGGGGCAGGAAGTCACGGTATTGTAACACAGGATCAGCCTTTGAAACACACATGGAACAGATGCACACATATTCCATGGGTGAACAGGCTTGGGATCAGGTGTTTTAGGAGGTATGCAGGGGCTCTAGCATCAGGAGCTTTATGTGATTGATCCTAGAGAGGGAGGCCATGCTTCATGGAACTACCCCAGCTCACTATGCAACAGTGGGAATCTCAAATGGATAGGCTGTAGGAAGCCTGGCTACTGGAATAGAGAACTGGAGACCCGAGGATGTTGTTTGTAGTGTCATGAGCCATGCGAACACATAGCCTTCAAAGCATGGAGCAGAGTGGACCAGAGATTCACTTCTAACTCCAGCAATGATTCAGGGTAGCTCAGCCTCCAATAAAGGAAAAGAGTAAGGATAATGGAGCCAGCACTACTGTCTCCTATCTGCATTCCTGCAGTCATGTACCTGCCTCAGAATGGGAAGGGAACACATCGTGTTCTGTGTAAGTAGATCGCTTTGGCTTGTGCTAACTTTCAATAACCCAAAATGACTTTTCGTAAAATTTCACTGAAGGATAAGCAGAGTTTGAGGGTGGTGGTGAAAAGTGGCGATTGGGGTTCTGGAGATACAGTGCTTGCTGGGCAAAGCATGAGAACATTCATATCCCCTAAGCCATGTAAAAAGTGCAGCGTATCATCAGCATGTAAGCACAGAGCTCAGGGGTAGGAGACAGAGGCAGATGGACCCCCAAGGCTTACTGGCCAGCCAGTGCAACCAAAATGTGACATTCCGGGTTCAGTAAGAGACAGTGTTTCAAAAAATAAGGGGAAGAGAGATACATGAAGCCAACCTCTGACCTCCATACCCCACACACAGATGATCGCACCTGTACACATGTGTGCATGCGCATACCTCTTTTAAGAGGTAATCAGAGAAATTAACTACATGTTTTAATGTTTGAACTCTATTGACTGCAGATAGCTTAATAAACCATACATGGAACATTAAATGAGAGTACATGGCTGTACTCTCTGAAGGTTTTGTCTGAGTGTGTCCCACGGTCAAAAACAATTTGGAAGTAGAAGAAATGAGAAACTACAAAGGTATAGGCATGAAACGTGTTGGCCCATGGAGTGACTGCATATAACCATCTACAGTCAGGACCGATGGCCCATTCTGATGGGATATTTTTATGTGTTTGTGATATGTATGGTATATGTTCATACATGTGTGGGTGCACTTTCATGTGCATGTGTGTGCACATGGGTATGGCAGCCAGAAGTGGATAGCTGGGTGTTGTTGGAACATGATCCAAGAATGGAGTCACCTGAGGAGAATTCTGGGTGCTTGTGAGAAAACTCCAAGAAAACAAGAGTCTAGGACCTTAGTTTCTTCGAAACAGAATTGTTCTTGGAATGTGCTTTCATAATATTCGTGAGTGAAGCAGATAGTAGTGAGTTGATTTCAGCCTTTGCTCTTCATGTGCATCTGGGTGGGGGGGCATGTTTTTGCCCTGTGTGGCTTCTCCTTGTGATTCTTACTCATATGATTCTTCTTAGCCCTCGGTGTATAAACTTTCTGATGCTCTGAATAAAGTTGGCTATTGCATGAGACTTTAGTCTGCCCCAATTTTAGGGCCTGCTCTCTCAGGTTCACACTGCCAACTAGACTGGTAAACAGGTGTCTTCCTCAACCATTAAACCTTGTGTTTTGAGACAGGTCTCTCATTGAACCCAGTTTATTAATTTTGTGAGAAAGGCAGGCAGATAAGCTCCAGGGATCTACCTGCCTCCTTCTTCCAAGTTCTGGGGTCACAGACGTCCACCATCACTGCTGTTTCTTATGTGGGTGCTAGGTGTTCAAAGTCAGGCTCTTAGACTTGCATGCATGGCAGTCGATTTGTGGACTGATCTATCTCTTCAGCCCCTCTGGTGGGACGTTTTAGAGATTGTCCATTGAGGAAAACGAACATGGAAATTCTGCAAAGACTTTTGATGTGATGACATCTAGGAAGGCAAAGGAGCAGGTACAGTGCTTCTGTTCACATGTGCTTTAATTGTCTAGTTTTCTTCTAAACGCACATGCCACTTTCTCCTATCATGGTCACCATCAGGGTAAGTGTGCTTATCATGCACCTTCCTCCTCCTCCTCCTCCTCCTCCTCCTCCTCCTTCTCTTCCTCCTTCTCTTCTTCCTTTTCTTCCTTCTCCTCCTCTTCCTCTTCTTTCTCCTCCTCCTCCTCCTCCTCCTCCTCCTCCTCCTCCTCTTCCTTCTCCTCTTCTTCCTCCTCCTCCTCAGTTACTGTAAATGAATTTCTGACAAACCATAAAAAAGGATGATTTACAATAGATTAACTTTCATCTAATGTAGTGAAATTGTCTGTTTGTAAACCCAAGCTGACCCAGACCCAGTGATTAAGAGATGAAAACTTCCAGAGTCCTGTGTAAAAATACATTTATAACATCTCTCTGTAAACATGCCTGTTACTCATAAATGAGTATAAATAAAGTAAGGCAAACAATTTGTTATGTGGAAGCCAATGTTAATGTCTTGAGCCAGACACATCTACATGTGTGAACATGTCACAAGGATTCTTTGTTGCAGGTTCAAAGTCTTATTGAGAAAACATAATTTGAAAAGTGACTTAGAAGTTCCAGAGCCATTTATTACAGCTTTTGAGTAGAATAATAACAGGCTAGGCAATCGTAAATCCCAAAAACTCCTGAGAGAAGGGAAATGCCCTTTGAGCTAGTGTCCACAGTAAAGGGGGAGAGAGTTTTCACAGAAACACTGAGAAAGCACAGGGTCAGGGAAAGCATGCTTAGGGAAATGGCTGGTGTTCAAGAAAGGGGTGAAAGGATCAGGGAAGTCATGGCTTCTGAGTTTATCAGTGAAGACCTGTCAGGAACTACCTGGAGGAAGACACTCCAGGGTATGTGAGTCCATTATCTCATTAGGAGAATAATTATTTCTCCCATTTCCTTAGCATGATTTCATTATGAATCAGCTTTCCTGAGGTGTTCTCTTGGTCAGGTGATTGACAGACTCAGTTGGATTAACTCTTAAGGAGGAGACACTTAAAGATTTATTTATTTATTATATATGAGTACACTGTAGCTGTCTTCAGACACACCAGAAGAGGGCATCAGATCTCATCACAGATGGTTGTGAGCCACCATGTGGTTGCTGGGATTTGAACTCAGGACCTCTGGAAGTGCAGTCAGTGCTCTTAACCGCTGAGCCATCTCTCCAGCCCCCAGGAGGAGACACTTAATGTATAATCTTCTAATCTTTGAGGCAGATTAGAACATAGTGTTTCTGCCTAAGGCCAATGACAGAACTGCCAATCTTTTCTTTTGACCAGGAGAAAGTAGCTTTCCCATAATATGATTCAACAAAGCCCAGATTCCTCTATGGATTTTTATACATTTTAAATCTTGAGAGCAGTTATGGTATTTCATTTTCTAGTGTTACTGGGGAAAGGGGACATGGTGTCTAAAGCTGGTTATGTGAGAGGAGTCTATCTTTAATGACCTCCAAGACTACTAATATCTATCTGGTTACTTAACAAACAAACAAATAAACAAACACATTCTCTTTTACTTTGCCAGTGAAGTATTCAGGTCCAAACTGTCTTCAATTAGGTATAACATCTTCCCCTCTTAAAGAGGAAAACACTGTCCCATGATTCTGTGTTATTTTTATAGATTTCATAGTTAGGAGCTTATTTATTTATAGGCAGTGGAAATCTTACTGTGAAGTGCAGAGTGGGTCTAGAGATAGGCCTTCAATTACTCAAGTTACTTAGTAACAGCTACTAAGTCTCATGCCTTCGTGCTTCTCTTAGATGCTGGAGTGGGCGATGGCATGATAGAAATGGCCCCTCACAGGGCTCACTCTCTCATGCAGTGCTTTGGAGTGTCAAGTCGATAGTTATGTTGAGAGCTCCATTCAACCTCTCACCTGATGCCACTTTTCTACAAGATTGGTATTAGAAGCTTCCTGAATGCCTTGTGGAATGAAGGCATCTATAGGAGCCACATAGATTTAAAAAATAAGACATCGTAATTTGGGAAATTACACTAAATGCTCCATGCCAAGCTTTGTCAGATGAAATGAGTTTATAAGTATCTAAACCATCAGTTTATGGCACAGACCTTGACCATGGGCAGCTCTGCTTCTCATCCTTGACAAGTAGCTTTGTCCTGGATAGAAGCCAGAAATGTCATTGATTCTATTGGCAATTATGACAATTGTGTCAAAAAATTTTAGAGGCATTGGTTCACATTTTGATTTATCTTTCATCTTTCTTATCGTTTTTCATATCAACTTAATGAACACAGATGCAGGAAGCTATGTGCATCAGATACTTCACTGACCCTTAAAGATATACCCCAAACTCCAGCCTGGATATCAGGATGGTTCAATTGAGTGAACAGCTTGTAGAGTATATGGTTGGACTTGTTAAATCTACTAGTTCAGCTCCCTATGTTTCTGCACACTAAAGACTTTTAAATCTCTAAACAGAGACTTGCAGTGGCAACTCTTCTTGACCTGTTCCTGTTTTATGGGAGCCCTGCTTGCTTCATTTCTCTTAAGTCCTTACCTATAACAAAACTGTTCTGGAACTATTGTCTAAAAAGGAAACTATTCTTCAAGTTTGTGAAACAAAGAACATGTAAGTTGCTTGTCTGGAGTAGCTTTGGTGGTCTTTGATTATCTGCTACCCTGGCCTCCTTCCCCATAAGCTATTCTCACCCAAGACAAGAAAAATCTCTATTGTATTTAAAGACATCCCATTCCACCCATTTCTCTGGGTTATTAATTTCTGGCCAATATCATAAAGAATACAGCAAAGAGGCTTTTAAAGATAAATTCCATATGTTCCTGCACTGGGACCAGAGACACTGAGTTGGGAGGGGAGAAAGAATAAGGAAAGAGAAGGAAAAGAAGGAAGTGGTGAGGCTGGTTTTGCCCTTGGTTTATCCTTTGCTGTGAACTAAGGGAAGCATTGTGACCC